TTGAATTGAAATAAAAACGCATTACCATAACATGTTCATAGCAAATTGAAAAATATTGTTACAAACATGATGCCTGTTAGAACGACCGGTATAGTAAAACATCACATGAAGAATTCCCGCCTATCCTGCCGTTGCCTGATTTGGTGTTGCCGAACATTTTTTTTTATAGGATAGGGTGACAAACGAGCACACAGTCCACCTGATGGTAAGTGGTTGCTGCGGCACATAGATCTACATCTATTCTCGATTATGATTCAAAATGCAGAGGCGTTGACACTTCTGAGGACTAAGATGGAATGCCTCTTTTCCAGTAAATAGCTTACACCGCCACTACACGTTTAAGATCTTAATATTTTTAAACATAATTCAAAATTAAAAATTTTGTACAGCCGACTTCAATATATATTATAAAGTATAACTCAAAAACATTATCATCTATCCTCCATTGTCACCCGTGAGAACTAAGATGGAATGCCCCTTTTCCAGTAAAAAGGGTCTCCGGTTCTCTACACTCACCATACGAAACAGCAGTGTTAAGCTGCTATTTTACGCTGGTATTCTGTGAGAGCGTGGTCCTACCCTGGTCGAGTCGACCCATTCGTGCTACAACTATACTACTAATATAGCTGCAGCATGGCTCTACCACGTAGGGGCGTAGCTACCGCCGTATCAGCCGTATCAATGATACGGGGCCCCCGGCAACAGAGGCCCCGAACGTATGTAAGCAAAAATTCTAAGGACTTCTATGGGACAGGAGGTTCGAATTTTTCGGCTAGCTTAGTTCCTAGGAGTATTAATTGTAAGTAATAACTTATAATCAATATATAATTATTTTAATTCATTGCGAGAGTTTTTGTTCCTTTAGTGAAAATTCTTTACAATTCATTTGGGCCCCCCGACAAATTTTGATACAGGGCCCCTCTAAGGCAAGCTACTCCACTGCGACCACGTAAATTACTAATATAGCTGCAGCATGGCTTTACCTCGTAAAAAGTTACATACATAAGTTCTCGACATTATAGGGTAGATTTAAAAAGTAAAAGGACCACCAATAATACAAGTTGGTCGACCTGAAGATAAAATTATGGTATTTTCGCGTAGTATAGTGTCATAGTACAATATAAAAGTTAAGCACCAAGGTAAGAGTGAAAGACCCCAACATGAGGAACTAAATTACTCTCTGGGGTTGTTTCACCACTAATTAATGAAATAGTATTATTGAAAAATAATTGTATTTTTATTTATTTTATTTATTACGATACTACATACTACACTCTATGAATAATGATTATACTTCGAAATTCAGCCCTGGTTACGTCGTCGACCAATGCAACGCGGCACTCATGTAGTTCGTATGTGTTATGACAGATGGTGCTACTTTTGCTTGTATGAAGAAGGTATAAGTAAAATGTTTAGATGGGTGTATCCTTCCTTTTGAAATCATTGTATGAATATTACGAACACTATCAAAAATACATTCATCAGTACAGCGCATCAGGCCGGTTGCTGCGGTTCTTAATAACGAGAAACGCAACTCGTTGGTTGGTTCCGATCCCCGAAAAGTCCCACTGGGTTTCTTGCTGGTTCTTCCCATGACAGAGGGGTTTTTTTCGAACCAGTGGTAAAGTAAAAAATGACTTTCAATAAGAATTACACATGTAATGTATATTGAACAAAAATTATTCTATTCTATTCCTTTCCCGATCAAACGTAAAGTGTGCTAGCAACGTAAGTAGATCTGTGTGCTCTCAAACCCCCTGTCGAAACGTAGATTTACGGGCATATTTTTTCGTTATACGCAATTTTTTTTTAAATAAAAAGTTGTATCACCATCATGTAAGGGGCGGAGGGCACCCTCCAATTCGTTAATCGGTACGAGGCTCAGGCACATTGCCATTTTACTTTAATTTTGATTCTACTGCGTTCAGGATTCGAATCAGCAGCCCCTGCGCAAGACCTCAATGCTAAGCCACTGCGTCACGGAGCCGTCATCACTATTGGAATTAGAATTTCATCTATTAATATAAAAATGAATCGCTGAATGTGTTGCTAAGCGCAAATCTCGAGAGCAGCTAAACCGATTTCGCTAGTTTTTTTTAATAATATTCCTTGATGTACGAAGATGGTTCTTACGGAGAGCAAAATTTAAAAAATTGCCCGAATAAGTCTAAAAACACCACTTTTCTACATTCCCGTACAAAAGATTCGTAATAATACTTAAAAGTCAATTTGAACTTTAATACCATACCATAAAGTTTAAGTGTTAGTGGACATTAGTATCGTATAAATATTAATGTCAATATTTGTCAGTATTTATACACACTGGCAGATAGCTGATGTTATAAGGAGTAACTTGGGCTGCTTCTATTTTAGGGTTTCGCGAAAAATAACTCCACGCGGGCGAAGTCGCAGGGAACAGCTAGTTTTATAATGATTGCGTGGTTCAGTGGTGGTATCTAATCACTATTCTTGGCTTTGAATCCTAACTGTTCGAACTAGATAAGGTCGCTATTTGAACAAAAAATTAATTTCTTTGTATTCTGGGCCTGATTAAATCCAAACTAAGGTTCTGATGTATCATCACTCCTTAGTTTAGGAATCAAAACCAGTTCCAAATCACAGTACGGTTCCTCATTTAGGTTATAAAAATTTCTCTTTTCGGTGTAGTTCCGGCGTTCCAAAATACAGAAATTTTATACCACAGTCATTCATTTCCACAACTAAGACGAATCTAACGATAATCTTATAGGTAATATGTTAAATCCATCAAGCCGTGACTACAAAGCGTGCCGCAGAATTCGATTTACAAACGTAACACATACACTCGAAATACATTACTCTCCCTTTGGAGTAGTTGGGTAAAATGATACATGAAGAGTCATGTTTAAGGAAGTAGAGATAAAATTTTTAGAAAAATATATTTATGTTTTTTGGTGAAAAGCGCATATCACATAGTTTGAAACAAAGTCGCTTCCCGCCGTCTGTACGCATAGACCTTTTAAACTACGCAATAGATTGATGCGGTTTTTATCAATAGACAGAATGATTCAAAAGGAAGGTTTATAATATGTATGATACATGCATATTATATATTATATAGTTCTTCTGTCCGCGTGTGTGTGACTGAACTCTTTCTAAACGGCTGGACCAATTTTCATGAAATTTTGTGTGTTTGATTAAGTTGATTAGAGAATGGTTTAGATTCACAATTGGACCCGGTAGGTGGCGTTGTTGTCGAGATCCAGAAATCAAATATGCGAAGCCGGGGCGGATAGCTAGTCGTAAATAAAACAGTTTGTTAACGATTATATAATATGTCAATTTTAATAATAGCTTTATTACTTTATCCTTACATAGAACGGAACAGTTAACATAACTGTTGCGTTTACCTACATTTGGAAACACGATTCATTATATTGAATAATATGTATTTTATTTGCAATATTGACTATTTATTCTTAAATGTAAATATGCAGGCAACCTGGTGGTTTAATAAATCGGTTAACTGAACGACTATAGCTATCAGTTAGGTTAGGTTAGGTAATGTTCGTGCATTCAACTTAACGCTACAGAAAGCTTAGCCAAATTGTTTAAAATTTAACAACATAACTGATCAATTTTTAACCATACGGTTAAATTAAATTATTGGCGTTGCATGGTTCAGCCGTACCGAAAAACAACATTTAACGTTTTTTATACAATAGAGGTGACAAACAAACACACTGTTTACCTGATAGTAAATTGGATGTTGTGCCTCATAGACACCTACATCTATCATCGATTAAGAATCAAAATGCAGATGCGTTGTCATCCCTAAGGACTAAAATGGAATGCCAAATCAGTAAAAAGAGTCTCCGTTTCTTTAAACTTTGGTTTGTTGCAGCAAAGCAGCATTAAACTGTTGTTTCACGCTGGTATTCTGTGAGAGCGTGGTCCTACCTCGGTCGAGCCGGTAATACCTGTTGCAGCAATATATAGCTGTGCAAAAAAGTAAAGTACATAAAAGTTTTAACGTTAAATGTATGTAATGTAAGTAATTTGGATGAATGGCCGCGTTTAACTAATGGCCTGGCCATCTAATTGACCGGCTATCTAAACCATCGGGCTGCGAACTATAGGTATAATAATATGTATTATCAAAGTCGGAGGCATTTTGAAAAATACTACTCGATCTAAATCGGGTTCATTCCAGTTGCACACGACTTTGTTTTTCAAAATGTTTCCGGCACGTGATACTTTCACTTTACACTTGCCACTTTTAATACTTCTAAACAACAATATTACTTGCATATCTATCATTGGTATGTATATCAGTAATAAATGTAAAACATATGTACATAAAAGTATATAAATATTAAATATAGAACTATTATTTAAATAAGCTCTCGCACTTACGACTAAAAGAGATTCGCACGAGTTCAATTCTAAAAATATCTAGGTTTTACATTCTTGAGTACGTATTTTAATATAGCCTAAGGCACTTGTTTACTTTTAAAGACTTACATTTCACTATGTTCGTAAGTATAATGAACAATATTATTAAGGTTTTTTTCAAAAACACATAAACCATTAAGTGTAAACACATAATACATAAATAACCTTACATCTCAATCAATTACTGAGATCGTATTTAGAAAATAATTCGGGTAGTATTAAAATTGTAATGCTTTTCATTGTCCTATAATCTGAAACCTCAGTTTTCACCTTAGTTATTCTTTCTCATAAAACATTGAGATTGCTTTATATATTTTGTAAATGTATTTTTCAAATCTTAAAACGTTAAGATCTCATTTGATCATGGATTCTGTTTGGGCTTTATTTAAAAAAAAATGATATTACAATAGTTATTATTTTCTTGATTTTCACCAAAGTGAGAGCACATTGCTTCGTTTATGTTGCTGTACATTCTCTCCATATGAAGGTGAAATTCATGCAGGTCATCTACCAGAGCCACGAGTGTGTCGCGTGTTTGTGTGGATGTTGCAATGTTGTGGCGGCAGTTAGTTCCCGCCGTAATCGCGCAGTTCGCGGTTGCCGAGCGGAAGCGTGGGTCGGTAGTTGTGCAGCAGCTCCATGGCCTCCACGCCGCATGAAGCCTCGCCGCATCGTAGTTTTCGCATCAACGCCAGCTGCAAATATATTTTATTAATTATAATTATATCTAAGTTCATTTAAAATAATAAGAATTTACTTAGTCACTATTACAATATCGAGAGTTTAAAAGCAAATAATGAGACAGGCTTCCGTTGCCTATTTATATATTTCGTAAAACTAATAACAACAAAAACGAGCTCAACAAAAGTTAAAACAATAATTTTAAGCCGTTGGTAGTAAGCAATGAATAATGACATGCCATTACTTTTAAAGGAAGTTTTGTTATAGTTTTATACAATATTCATTATCCGTCTACATTGATAGGTTAGGATATATTTTCTACGCAAAGACTGAAGGTGTAAAGTAACCTGCCTACCGCCGTAGGCGTTGCCATAGCGTGCCGGTCTTTGAAAACCGGTAAACCTGAAGCAATCATTGTTAATTGCCTCGGGAACTAGCATGAAAACATCCTATCCGACCTGAACTCTCTCATTCTCTCATTCTCAATAAGATTTAAAACTGAAAAATAATTTACTAATATGTATTATTTAGCATACTTTAACATAGTATATTTTATTACATATCTATACATCTGTTTGTAATGTCAAAATTACAGCATTTTACTCAATGTATATGAAAGTATATACGGTACTTATAACAAAAATAGAATTAAAAAAAATATTGTCTGTTTGTTCCAGCTAATCTCCGAAACGGCTGGACAGATTTTGACGGGACCTTCATTGGCAGATAGCTGATGTCATAAGGAATAAACTTATACTTTTATTTTAGAAAAAGAATTAGGGTTCCTTGCAAAAAAAATTAAAAACCTAAATTACACGCAGGCGATGTCGCAGTGAACAGCTAGTAGTACATAGCACATAAGTGTATTTATTTTAGATACTAATTAAAAAAAAACTAACATTGTTGAACCGACGTCAAAATTGCGTTGCTCGCGTTATAGTCATATTTTTTTTTATTAACTCTCATTGGTTTAACGATTGTAAGCATGACTGCTGCATGTTCAAAAGCGGGTCGGGCCAAATTCTCAGGAACAGCTCGAAGATAAGCCGTTAGCGTTGTTTCACCCCCATGGATCGGAAAGTACGCAAAGCGTTGGTCCTGCTCCTGATTTTTCAACGGTTGTAGATTGCCGTCCCATCGAACTATGAGAGTCGGGGAATAGAGAGTGCACCTGGGCTTGCGTACACACTTGTGAACTCATGTTCTGTGTAGATGGCTAATCTCCGTTGAGACTGGCGCTGTAGTCGAAATTCGATCTGGAGGACATTGTATATTTTTATTTTTAGTATTAATTCAAAAGGCATTAACCTGTTCAGCAGAAACTTGTATCGGTTCCTTGAAGAGTATCCATGTAACAGACTCGGTACAGGGTGGAGTGGTGAGAGAGCCAGGGTAGGTCCAGTAGGCTTTGCGCTGTGGCAGCAGCATCGCCGGATCCAGCGGTTCAGACATTGTCACCTTGTCACCTTTGTGTTGAATAAATGGTAAAAGACGGACCACCTTCTCCAACTCTTCGTGTTTCGTGCCAACCTAAAAAATGTAATTATTATTTAACATTGTTTTTACGTTTAAATAGTCATCAATAGTATACGTGGTAGAGCCATGCTGCACCTATATCAGTAGTATAGTTGTAGCACGAATGGGTCGGCTCGACCGGGAAAGGACCACGCTCTCACAGAATATCAGCGTAAAATAGCAGCTTAACGCTGCTGTTTCGTATGGTGAGTGTAGAGAACCGGAGACCATTTTTACTGGAAAAGAGGCATTCCATCTTAGTCCTCAGGAGAGATGTAGATGTCTGTGGGTCACAGCAACCACTTACCATCAGGTGGACTGTGTGCTCGTTTATCACCCTATCCTATATAAAAAAAATCAATCTTTTTTGAACTTAAATGAGAAATCTTACCTACTGAAAGTTATCTCATTTACATTTTGTTTTTACCGTATTTAATTATAATTATAGGTAATGTGTAGCAATAATTGGTGCTATTATATTGTTTTAAATACTTCATCGTAAGAATTTTATTTTGGCATTGTTTGCATGAATTGATTAAAATTTAGACAATTTTTTGCCTATACAAATATTGGCGATGTCAAATGTTACTTTGAATTTTCATAATTATTGCGATATAAGTAGGTACATAATTTAGTATACCGTCCGTCGCGGCCTATCAAAATCCACTGTTGAACATATATGTATTTTGAGAGAGGCTCCATAGATTGCCTTATAGAGGGAATATTTGCCGTAGTCGACACGCTTGGCAGGCGGTTTATTTTTACTTTTAGTTGTTATTAGAAAGCCGCTGCTGCCTATCTACTTTACATAATGCATTAAAGGGTTACATGAGTATGCAGTCTGGTCTGTAATATCCTACGGTTTTAAAAGGATTAAATTGTGAGGCTTCATCGGCGAAATCCTCTTTGTTTTTTATTTATAACTGCTCTACTTTACACTTCTTATTGAAAGCATTTATTAACTCGTTTTCGTGTAGTATGTCTGTGCGGATGGAATTTAGTAATTGATTTTAAACTAATTACCAGATGAGCTAGACTCGAAATTTTGAACATAACCGAGAATTGAATGACTTGGTAAAAATATGAAAAAAAAAAATAACGTGGCATATACTAAAAAAATAATACATCATTTTTAAAAACTTTACTTGTTCTAGCCCACATAAATAAAGAGTTTCCGAGATATTTAACCGTTGGAAAAAAATAATGTCTATACTTGCAGAATACAAACCACGGCAGTGCACGAGTCCCTTAAACTTATAATAGTTTCAAGTTATGTAACAGGATCCAGGGAACTTTAAATTTTTGAAGCTGTATCCATCGATCAGACATACTTATATTAAATGAAGTAAGAGGTGCAAACGCAAACAAAAAAACATTTAATTTTTATTCAATTATTATTGTGACTCAGGGGATAAGCGTTGGTCTTAAAACTTTATAGCACGCAAGCAAACCAAGTTCGTATCCCGCTTGAAATCGTTAATTGCAAATGAAAGTGCTGATTTACCACGTGATTGGTTAAAAATATCGCATTGAAATATTTATATTTAAAAAATTAAATAAAAATTTATTTCCAAGACACGCATTGCTGCAACTGCAGTGCGGCGGATCGTTTTTTGCTCTAAAAATAAAGAAAAGCGAGCAGGTCTCTGTCCGGCTTTGAGACGTACTACTACAAATATTTTTGCCATTGTTATTGATTTTTATTAAATACTAGCTGACCCGGCAAATGTTGTTTTGCCATATACATTATTTCTAGGAAATATTTAAAAAAAAATTAACCCTTACCATTCACCCTTATCATTTAGGGGTTTGAAAAATAGATAGCCGATTCTCAGACCTACCCGATATGCACACAAAATTTCATACAAATCGGTTCAGCCGTTTCGGAGGAGTTTGGGTAACAAACACCGCGACACGAGAAATTTATATATATTAGATATAATTTCATCATGTCTAGCTGCGTTAATTTATATACATAATATATAAATTAACGCGATAATTTATATTTTATATAAATTAACGCGTTGGTTTATATTTTTATATAAATTAGTGCAATTCGATCGGAACATTAACATAATTATACCAATTCTGCGTGTGTTATGATAATAACAAATGGTTAAATAAAATTTTGTACAACCGACTTATTATTAATAGAATTTAATATTAATAGAATGAGAACATCGTCAGTGTAGTCGAAGTCAATTAGATACGCATTATCAAGGATAACTCAAAAACTACTGGTCAAATCTTGATCATATGAGACTACATGAGAAGCACCAGCTTTCAAATAAAAAAGAATTATCAAAATCGGTTCACCTAGAAAAAGTTCAGAGATGACACACATAAAAAAATACAGTCGAATTGAGAACCTCCTTCTTTTTTGAAGTTGGTTGAAAAACTGTCTCTGATATTCGAGTTAATATTTATCTGTTTACTTAATTTGCATATTATACGACTAAATTAAAAAGTCTTATTTTACCGCGTTTACGCGAAGAAGATAACGTGTTTATAGAGTGAAAGTTTTGATTGAAAGTTGAGTCGTTGGTGTTTAGCGCGTTTTGTCTCATCTGTAAGCAATGTTGATTTTAAAAATGGATTTGCAAACACTTTTAAACTCAAATTGTATTTACATACATAATATACCTAATAACGGATGTATTCAATCAACAGATCGTTAGGTTAGCTTGTCGGGGCGCTGCACTCGACATTATATTCTTACAGTTCTGCAATAAAATGCTTACATCCACATGTAGGCGTTTATTTGTTTACATTTAATGAATTGTTTATAATCGCTTGGTCAGAGATGTGGGAACTTATTTTGATATAATATCCTATTAGGTCTTGATTTGAGTCTTATTGTTTGTTACAAATACGCTGCTAATGCCTGCTATTTTTACGTGGTACAGGTAGAGAGAGATACGTTGCAAATATATTATGGATGAAGCACGAAGCGGGGGAAGGAATATTCCTCATAGAATTAAAGCGTTATATATAACAGCATCATATTGTTCTGTTCCGTATGATAAATGTAGAAAACTGGAGACCATTTTACTGGCATTCTATCTTGACCTCATACATAGCGACTCATCTGCCTTTTGATTCTTAATCGATGATAGATGTATCTAGGTTTCTATGGACTACACAATCCACTTTGCTATCAGGTGGACTGTGCACCCCAATGGGTGATAGAAAAGAGAATTCTTACGATATGAATACATATGTATTTACTTACAAATATTATATCATCATATATTTTGTTACATATAATGTGTATTTGTTAAAGATTTTATTATTTTTCTATTTTTTTAATTGCTACACTTATGTCAAGTTCTCACCACTCCATGGGTTGACTGGTAGAGAATGCCTTAAGGCACAAAATACGCCCTTTGTCTACTCTTTTGTATGGAAAATGCAATAAGGATTTTAAATAAATAAATTCTTACCATCAATAATACTCCCAGTACGGCGAGGCCGTCAGTTTGTCCGGCCGCTTCCGCGAAGCTGTGATATTTAGAAGTGTTCCAGTGCACGAGATGTAGTTCTCCTGAGAATGCACGACCATCCACCGTATGTTCCGACCCTTCTCCATTCACAGCGCCCCAGTGACAGTGCCATTGCTGTAGTTTGTATACATCGGAACCCAGCGGGCCGCCGCGCAATTCTGTAACATTGTACCAACTGTGAATTAAGTGATTGCAGATATTATAATATGACGAATATTTAACTTATCACTCTTGGATACTAATGCATCTATAAGCAGATACATTATCTGGGAGTCAAAGTCAAATGTCGCGATTCAAGACTAAGTTCGTATAATACGCTGACCGATGAATTCGTTACCAACCACTTTTAAGATTAAACAGATATAGTTGAATTATATATTAGTGGTCATATAAATTTACTTTCATTTAAATAAGTAGTAGTAAGTAGTGAAAAAGTTTGCGTTAATGCAAATGCAAAATGCTAACTTATGAATTATTTTTTATGAGGCGAATAAGCCAGTGATAGAGTAAGATTGCTTAATATCTATTCCCCTTAATATAATCCCGTGGGTGTCGAAAGAGGCCACAGAAGAAACTGAAACAGGAGATGGGCGGCATCACTTTCCTAGTGAGAACAAGTAGTAAAATATTGCGATTCCCAACCCGATTTTAACTGAAAACAAAAAAAATGGCCAAGTGCGTGTCGGGCCACGCACAATATAGAGGTAGGGTTCAGTAGTAGCCCGTCATAATACGTGAGCTTTCTTGATAATGAGCATAATAAGTGAGTTCGCGGTTTGACCGCTATAACGACTAAAAATTGCCCTAAATAGGAAGATGGTAACTGACGGGCTCATTTTCAAATCAGACTTATAGGGTATTCAAAAAAGATTAAAAATCTTTTCGATTTTGACAAATAATACAATTTACATCAAATCATTCAGTTCAACCATAAGATATACATATATGACCGTAACGAACCTTCAAGTAAATCACAACTGCTCGAAATTATCACGAGGTTGTCCGCGTAAACCAAGAGTGTGACGAATGAAACTGTATGAGGCTATATTATGATTATATGAATCATAGACTTATACATCGATGGTATGGAATACATTGAATGAGTCCTACACTAACTACCACCTAAAAATAAGTGAAAGTAGTAAGTAAGTGAAGAATATCCTTCCTGCCTATCTCGCAAATAAAAAAGTAAAGCGATGTAATGCATATGTCGTTTTCTTTATAAAATTTTTATTTTTTACAGGTTACAATAACATTACAAAGTTATAATGCAGCTAGTTTTAGGTCATTTTCTATGGAGTTGTAACGTAATTTTTACTAATCCAAGTGCATTTTATAATTTGGTTGACTATTACTCGTTAACCTCTTAATTTTACTTAGCTGATATAGTTTTCCTTTTAACTTCATTATATATACTACTAACGTGTATAATTTCACATTTTTTACGTGAATGCCATGCTGCAGCTATATTAGTAGTATAGTTGTAGCACGAATGGGTCGGCTCGACCGGGGAAGGACCACGCTCTCACAGAATACCAGCGTAAAATAGCAGCTTAACACTGCTGTGTTTCGTATGGTGAGTGTAGAGAACCGGATACCCTTTTTACTGGAAAAGAGGCATTCCATCTTAGTCCTCACGGGTGACAACGCGTCTGCATTTTGATTCGCAAACGAGGATAGATGTAGATGTCTATGGGCCACAGCAACCACTTACCATCAGGTGAACTGTGTACTCGTTTGTCACCCTATCTTATTAAAAAAAAAATCCAAAATCAGTGGTTTAGTTTGTAGAAGGGGGAGACACATGACTAATGAAAAATACCACTTTAAAGCTACATATTTCGCAAACAGACTCCTGAGTCGAAAGGATGTTCCACACCCGACGAGCATGTATGCGTAGGTATATGAGTGTGAAGGAAGCGATAGAGGTGTGTGTGTCAGGATTGTGCGAAATGGAAGTCCAAAGTCTCTGCCTACCCCTCTGGGTCACAGGCATGAGTGTTATGTTATAAGTTAAGAATAGCTATACATTCGCAGTGTTCCTCATATAATACAAACTCTAATCAGTTACGATGACGAGTTTATACATTATTTTAAATTAAATAATATGGTAAAACCGACAAACTAAAACTGATAAAATTAAAGTGACAATTAGGTATAAATATATACCTTTTAACAACAGTCTGACTGAGGCAGACAATAATTCACATAAAGGGGAATATTAGCGGCAGAACTGCAAATTGCTTCTTGCGTGACAGCATCAAGTACGCTAGCAGTTTGCGAGACTGATGGAGGAAATTTGATGTCTACCTTCCTGGCAGTTAATTAATTGCTCTGACAGTTTTAGGTTACGAAAGTTTTAAGTAAATTATAGGATTTTACTGCAAAATTAATGATAGTTATTGTAGCTGTTATTGTCTATGACAGCTCAGACTCAATGGAGTTAGAGCCAAATAGTTTTTTAGTTTTCCTAAACATTTTAGTCATTCAAAATACTAGTAACAACTTTAGTCATACTGTGTACTAACCGATATTTAAACAGTGAAGCTCACCACCATCCATCACGGATAGCTACTGTGGAAAAATCTTTGTTACAGAAATCACAAGGGGTCTTTGACAGTATACACCTCGTCGTCTAGCTCCAGCACGTTAAGCAAGTATTGCAAGACAACGAGTTTCGGGTACGGCACCTACGTAACCGCAGTGACCTAGGATAACCGTCGAGCGTGTACCTGCTGTACATATGTCAGAGGAGTCACAAATAAGATTGGCTATAATTTGAGGCGGCCTTTCATAAGTACATATACTACAAGCCACCGAAGCAGATTTGTAAGTTCTTTTCATTCTTTACAAGATGTAGGAGTAACCGAGCTTGATTGTCGATGTGGTTTCTCTTACACAGGAAAAACAAAAAGGTCGATAAAACCCGTAAAATAAGATATACCTAGCTGACGTCTAGCAGCGATGTTCCGGGAAGTCTGCGATCTGTGAATATATTCATGATCGTCCCAACCATTACGTAAGATTTGATAGACTACAAATCTTGGAAAAAGAACACCGCTTCATACCTATGATTCGTAAAGCTATTGAAATAAAAAAAAACACCTAATTTCTACACAGGAGATTGATATTTGCCAGCATCTACTCGGGATCTTATAATTAACTAAATTAAATCCAAACACAAGCATACCACTGTAACTTTTAAGATGCTGTAAGCTCGTTATGCGTAGATCAGACCAAAAGTGAAGAGATTAAGAGTTCAAGGTAGCCTTCATGGACTATGACATCGGGACGTCAAACACCTCAGTCTCCTGGTGACTACAAAGCGCTCGGAACGTTGAGAATTTAAAAAGATTAAATTAAACGCGATAAAATCCGATAAAAATAGTTTTATTGAATTCACGAGACAGTATAATGTGCTAGAGGACCGCTATGCTGAATTAGCCTTGCATTGTGTTGGCACGCGCACATTGTACCTATGTTTAAACATCGAGGTGGTGTAAACGCTGTTATTTTTGCACAAAAAGAAAAAGCGGAGAGCTTCTACTCCATCTTTACAATCATATTTGCCTGTCAAGAGTTTTCACCATCAGGGCTCTAGTAGTGTGCTATCGTTTAATCAGTAAAAGAACAGTCTAAATATTATGGAATAATAACCTGAATCATATCCGTTCTCATCGACGCGCCAGCAATATCCAGGATTAACAACGGATCGGGTATGGTTAACGGAGTAGCGCCAGGTGAGGGGTGGCGCACTGCCTCCGCTGCTGGCGCGTGATGTGTCGATGTCTACAGGACTCTGACGCGCGCCACGAGCTTCGGGGAATTTTTCTATCCATGTCGCTGGGCCTGTAAAAACGCAATATTATTAAATTTTTTGAATGCACGTTTGTAAGGTCTACAAATAATTAGAAGGTTATGATATTTTTATAAAGGGAATATATGTACATAAGTAAACTTTTCACGATTTAGGAGAAAAACCTAAAATAAAGGTAACGTTTTTTTAAGAAATAAATAAAATTAATGTAAAAATAATAGCAATTTATTGAAATATATTACTTAAATGTCTAATTACGTAAATAATAATGTAGGTATTTAATATAATGCATTTAATATAATATATCTGATTAAATATAATGTGGCAAAAAGTGTTGGCCAGCTGTTTGGTCACAGTGATTTAAAAAAAGTTAGTGGAATCGCTTTTGCCCCTAAATATCTCTTAAGTTTTGAAGCCTAGTGGAATTTTTGGAGAAGATGGCAGGAGACTTAACGTAATAACTTTGATCTATTTGTCTTTGTGTTGTCCACTAAAGGATACTTATTAATTAAAATAAGTATCCTTTAAAATTAAGAATATCTCGATTAGGACTGGGGTGCAATCTGAGACAGCTGAATTGAGAACATACTCTGAGACTATAATTATGCTATTTATTTAAAGACCATCAGCCAGGTAATCCATTAAGTTGCTGATGGAGAACTTCATCCGCGACTGATCGTAACCGCTGGTGACTAGATAGGCCTGGTTTTTCCAGCGATTGCCAAGATTCTAGACCACGCCCTAGTCTATTAAATATAATGTGGCATTATGCGAAACAAAATTGACTGTAATAAAGGTATTACATAAACCGATGAAAGGCATTACATAAACTTCGTTAAAACCGTTAAATGACCATGGGTGCTGGAAGAAACGTCGAGAATTAAAAAGTTAAAATTAAACGCGATAAAATCCGTAAAATACTTTTCATATTAGCATAAATATAAGAAATCATTATTCGTAAAGATCGTCCTTTTTACAGCGATTGCCTATTGACTAGGGCCGGAGTCTTACTACCTAGTACCTACACTGTGCTAGGGTATGGTAAATCTGACTAATTATGATGACATTAGGCAAAACAAAATTGATAGTAATAAAAAAGTTACTCATATGCAGATAAAAAGGTAACTTTGTTTGTCATGTACAATGGCACTTAAAAAGTAATGTAATTAAAAAGTGACATATTAAAAAAAACATGCGTGAGTGTCGTGGAACACTCGGTTGGAACAAAGTTCCTTTCTTAGTATATTATTATTGACAAACGTATTATATTATTGAGTGACAAATTAAAAAAAATGCGTGAGTGTCGTAGAACACTCGGTTGGAACATAGTTCCTTTCTTAGTATATTATTACTGATAAACGTATTATATTATTGATTAACAAATACAAATAAATGAATTACTAGCGTCTATTAAAATGAAGCGTCATTTTAAATTTTTTTTCAATTTCATGGCAAAAGTGCAAGGGAGATGGATATTATTCCATCTCGCTTCCTTACAGCCGCCAAGGCCGTCTACAAATTTGACTGTAATAAAGGAATTACATAAACGGATTACTACGTCAGAAGGGTTCGTGACGGAAAAATCTTACACTTTTTCTCGCCTAGCCTCCATCCGTCAAATTCGTACCGTGCGATAAAGAACTTCGTTCCAAAAATATAGTCTTGGCAGTACAGGGGATTAGCGTACGCGTTAAAATTTCATAGTACCGAGTGGAAAGAGCCGAGTTCGAGCCTAGCCGTAGCCGTCACTAATGATTTTTGAATCATTTTGCATTAAAAGTTTTTGAGCTCGGCGATGAAACAAAATTAATATTGGATTCGAACAAAATATTGGATAATATGTGATAGCTGCCACAACGCATTGCCACCGCTCGGCAGACAGTCATGCTCCATATCCCTCTCAGGAAAGAGACACGTACGTAAGTTGTTAGCTGTTTAGTTTACTTTAGATGGAAAAATAAAAATACTGAAAACAAACTTAGGTGATTTACTGAAAACAAAAATGATTAAAAGCAACCTGTTGCAGTAAAAGTTTTTTGTCAGGATTTAATCCAATCTTTATGGTACATATTAAAATATTGAAACGCTAGCTAAGGTCTTAATAGACACACATTAATTTATGTTGAATTTTATTGCCCATTTTCAAAAGAGAGAGTAGTAAAAAGTAAGCATAACAGTTTTCATCAATAATATTATAAAAACTGGAACTAACTTTCTTGAACAATGGTGTGGTTTATACATATATATCTATACTTAATGACAATGAACCGATATCGCAGAGTAACTATCTCTACATAGCATAGTATAAAACAAATTCGCTTCCCGGCGTCTGTACGCTTAGAAAAAAAAAAGATCTTTTAAACTACGTAACGGATTTAAGAAGAAAGTTTATACGTATAATTATATATAAAATTCCGGTGTGTATGTGTGTGTTCGTCATTTTTATTTTTTAATGAAATTTTTAAGGTATATATGGTGTCACCAGGATGGTTCTCAGGTATACATGGACCCGGTAGGTGGTGCTGTTGAAATTACACGTGCGAAGCTGGGACGGATCACTACGTTTGTTACTGCGACCGTCAAAGTGCCTGCCAAGCATATCGATATGCAAATATTTTCTACAATGGAAAAGGCCAATGTCCAACTGTTAGCTTTAATGGGCTGTTGAAGGCAGTTCCAGACACTGCTCTTCCTTCTAAAGCAGTGTCTACAACTACGATTATTAATAATCCTATATTGAATATTGAGCTGCACCGTAGCAATAATTGTCAATGTCACCTCTTGTATTTAAATAAATTGTGATTGCATGTGCTTCATTCCAGTCTTATCCGATTTTATCGCATAAGTATAATTTACTTTGGATACAGGAAGTCGAGGACGAGTAGGCTTGTATGTGATTACGTGTTAATTTTACATCTATAAATACAATATACTGCGCTGTTGACCACATCTGGTAACTAGCTGTAAATGGTCGTCAAATATTATACATCTGGTCAATATAATCTTGATTTCTAATAAAAAAACTATTTGTTTCTCTTTGTGGTGTGATGGACAATATTTGAATTTATTTTTTCAAATGTTAACCTCATCTGTAAACAGCGCCCTCCCGGTTAACGGAAGGGGTTGTTGTCTGACCTGTCGACTGTCACACTGAAAGTTTTAAGCTCCTGGCAGATCATAAACGTCTGAATTTTGAATGTTGTATTTTTTAAACATAGATGAAAACTTATATATTGATTAAAACAATTTTTGACGAAGAATACGAGGTACGAGTGTCAATTGTTCTTTATTATAAGTATAGCAAAAATGGAACTAACGCGAAAAGACTAGGAAAATGATTTTTTTTTATTTTAAAAGTTCAGTCTCTCCGCAAGATTGCACGGTTCGTCTTCAAAATGGAAAATCAAATTCAAAAGGAAAACACGTCATTTATGACCGCGTTTCTCTCCATGGTGAAATTCGTGAAGGTTGACCCTCAATTGGGAACACTAAGCAAAATATCGCTATTAGTCGCCTGACAGTGGCCACAGGCGACTAATTGATTAAATCGGCGCATCGTAACAGCGGTAGGAGCCTAATTAAAAAAATATATATTTACATTTAAAAGATAGAAAACCTTATTGCCGCTCGATTCCTTATAAACTCATCCAAGAACAAAAACGAGGTCGAGTTGATTGGTGTAAAAAATGTTGTTAAGGTTCATGGACGTTCAAATGCTGTGTATGACAGTGTGGCAGAAGATGAAACATGGATACATTGTTACATTCCGGAAAAAAGCAACAGTCTTCTCTATGTGTGTTCGAAGGTGACAGCAAACCAATAAAATTGACGTAGTCAAGAAGCTTGGTTAAAAAAGATTGCGTTTTTTCTCCCAGTCGGGTTTCGTCTGCGCGGTCCCACTTAATGAGCAAAAGAGAGTTAATGCTGAGTGGTACACCACCATTTGTTAGACCAGTGACAATTTAAAAAAGTTAGGAAAAAATGACTAGGAAGTCGCATCCTATAGGATGTGACTTTATTGTACCACGAACAAGACAGTAATTTTTAGCTTCTAAAAGGTAGAGCTCGTGACCCACCCCAAACACAGACCAGATCTCGGCCCATGCGATGTCTTTATTTTGTCAAAAATAAAAGATTTGATGAGAGGTTTGACATTTACGAAATCAGAAGAGGCCGTCATAGTTTTCAACCAGCACGTGGAAAAACAAGCTCTCAAATCAATGGTCCTTATATTTTCAAAAATTGTTTGAACGCGTGAAAATGTGTTTAAAATGTAACAGAGAATACTTTGAAAAGGTAATAAATATATTATTTTATATATAAATTGTTTAATATATGAGTTACGTAAAACTTTCAGTGTACCTCACATATCATCGAGTAATGCATCCCAACTCATGGATTCATATAGTGTACTGGTACTGGGACTATATTTATATATTGAAATATTATGTACTTATGTACATAATGTCTCATTGGCTATACGTGTATTAATATTTACGAACTCGCCTCAGCCCAGCAGTGTACGAGTGAAAGGCCCCAATGATGTTGATAAAATAATTTATTTTCCTAAAAATAGAAATTAAAATTAAAACTAAAAACAATTTTACTTTTTGAATTGTTAAGTGCCACAAAATTTATAATAATAAACAAACATTCATTTAACTTTTATGTTTTCCCTTTAGATTTCGTAACCCATAAATTTAACATAGCGGTCATGAGTGAACTGGGTTTCGTGTGCTCAAAGTGCCAGTTCATGGACTATCTTTTATTTTTCTGTAGAACTGAGTTCAAAACGGTGTGGTAACCCACGCTGGATAAGGATGCTGTCGATGGTGGTGAATAATATTTAAAGATTTTTTTATAGGATAAGGGTGACAAATGAGCACACAGTCCACCTGATGGTAAGTGGTTGCTGCGGCCCATAGACATCTACATCTATCCTCGTTTGCGAATCAAAATGCAGATGCGTTGCCACCCGTGAGGACTAAGATGGAATGCCTCTTTTCCAGTAAAAAGGGTCTCCGGTTCTCTA